TCTTGATCACCGTCTTTAGCGGCGGTCTATGTCAGTGTATAAAACACGGACTAGCAAAAAATATCAGACATGATTTTTTCCGGGCCATTACAAGTATAGACGCTATTTTGACTGTTTTCAGAACAGTTCGTCCCATGTTTATACAGAAAGACAGATTATTCGTCTAACGGCTTGCGTATGATCTCTGATTGGCTAATAGCCTGCTGTGAAATCGTCATGATCAGCTCAATAACTGACGAAATATGGGGTTTTTTACATAAATTTCAGCGGAGTGACGTCATAACGTTGATATGAAATAGTATTGTTATATAACTAGCTTGAACAACAGACGTGATTGGTTGATTTGTGGTCATGTGGCTTAAGACAAATGAAATATATCCCGCGGGGCAACAAGTGAAAAATTGTTGCGCGCCCCGACCGGCTAAACGTATACGTGAATAAACAAAATGGCGGCACTCACAATTTTATAAACTATACACATACGATTTTCCAAGTTTGTGTTTTAATAAAGAATGTGAAAAAGAAGAAAAATACACAACAGGAATCAGGATATGCTTCTGAAACCGTTCAGCCAGGTTCTTTTAATTTTATTAAACTCGTTTACACTATATAGAGTTTTTGTCATGAAATACAATTGTTGTATGAATATTGTTGATTTTTCTTTCCTCGCTATACAGGGTGTATAAAAAAACTGAACAGATTTGAAATTGCTCTCAATTAGTATCCAGTTTTTGATATAATTTATATAGTTTCTTTGGGTACTTACTTAAAATGTAGAATAAAAAAAAATTTCTCGAACTCAAATTTTGTAAACCAGGGGTGTGTGTCTTTTCCAACAAACTAAAAATGGCTTGCGCACAAAATTTAAAATATATCATATTTTGAGTTGATAGATGGAAAAGTTATTGCGTTTTTAATTACTGTACAAAATTTCAGACAATTTGCTTAAGTTTAAATATTCATTTTTCTCTAAAAAATTAGCCTTTCGCATCATCGCATGCTTAATTAATGCCTTTACCTAATTTGCATATTGCTGATAAATGCAAATTAGGCAAAGCATTAATTAATTAGCATGCAAATAGCTGATTTTTTAAGAAAAAATGTAAGTTTGTGTTAAAGGGCTTAAACTAAAGGAAATTGTCTGAAATTTTGTACAGCAATTAACAAGCCAACAAATTTTCCATCTATTAACTTAAAATATGATTAAAGCTTTTAAATTTCATGCGCAAGCCATTTTAATTTGTTGGAAAGACACCCCCCCCCCTGGTTCACAAAATTTGAGTTCGAGAATTTTTTTGTTATACTACATTAGAACTACCCAGAGAAGCTATATATAGAACAAAAAGTGGATACTAATAGCTGTTTTGCGAAATTAAGAGCAATTTCAAATCTGTTCAGTTATTTTTGATACACCCTGTATAACAAAACACTTAATGTCTGTTCCTTTGAGAAATAGTTTCGTTTCTCCTCCAATCTCAATGTTTCCCTCGATTTCGTCTCGGAAAACTTGAGACTCTCGGGTAAAAAAAAAAAAGATTTCCCTCGGGAGCAGACATGAGACTTCAAGTGTATATTGTTATATAGCTATAGTGGTTAACGCAAGCGTGATTGGCTGATTTAATTTGTTGTCAAAATCGTTCCCCGCTCACAGTATCTATATGATCGCAATCATGCATGAATTGTCTGTGTGCACAATTGAGAATGCACACACAAAGTCCACAAGGTAATTTTGACAAAATAATTTTTTATTAAACGGAAAACATAAAGTTTGTGATTTCACAGCTCTTGCGATAAATTACTGGCAAGAAGTAAATTAATTAACAAGTTAAATTTGTAATTGTAAAACCGTCCGTTTTTTGTTTACATCACTTTATACTGTTGAAATTTAGCATTCATTCAGTATAGCCCCCATATCACCTTGAGATTTAACTATAACGTCTATGTCGTAAAATAAACCGAATGTATTTTTATGACAAAATAAGCTGCATGCTTTCCTACGTTTTTCTAATTTGAAAGGAAATGTCATGGTTTAAAGGAAATGTCATGCCTCTAACATGTCTTGAATTGGTTAGATGGAAAACACGGAGTCGGAGTTCCGGAGTCGGAGCCCCGGAGTCGGAGTCCCGGAGTCGGAGTCCCGGAGTCTGACGTCATAAAAATATGGAAAACACGGAGTCATATGGAAAACACGGAGTCTGACGTCATAAAAATATGGAAAACACGGAGTCATATGGAAAACACGGAGTCTGACGTCTGACGTCATAAACATATGGAAAACACGGAGTCTGACGTCAGAGAAAAATATGGAAAACACGGAGTCTGACGTATTGTCAGCGTGAAATATGGAAAATAGTAATTAAATAATATATACAAACGGACGAATTTATAATATAACGATCGAATTGGAAATTTTCTGCACTAATTCTGGTATTACTCTAAAATGTCGTGAAAATATGGATTATTTATTTTTAAATACAATCAAGCAAATAATATTGTTTCTCTTGTCGTGTGACTTGTTCAGTTGTATAATATTTGAAGTGATTTTAATGCGGATTTTGTTCACCTCGCATGGTATGTTGATAAAAATATAGTTTATATACTTAATACTGCTAGAATATTTCATAGTCGATTTACATGTAATGTTTATAACACACAAAATCTTGACACAAAACAGATATGCTGCTTGGAAACAGCGTGCAATATTGTTAATTACTAATAAATAGATGCAGCCAGCCAACACACAAATCCGTGCAGTATATTAATGGCATTAAAAAAGTTTTCAGATGTCCAAAAAAATACCTGCACTATAGTGGTAAGTCCGTACCAAGTTAATATCTCTAACATTATAAGTTTTAGGTTTTTATACTGAGTTAAATATCATGCAATATCATAAGTTGCAATTAATCAAGCCATTGATATTTGAGTGATCAAGATAGGTATTTAGAACTGACCATTTGTTCCAGGCTTAATTGCATGATACCATTGTAAAATCGTCTGGCGTTAGGCAGAGTAAAATATAAAGTAGGGTACATCTGGGCACATATATTGCCACTTATAATTAAAGGGTTAATATAGAAATTTTGTATTTCATAAAGTATTACAATGCTTTTGAAAGGGATAATTTTAAGTGAAACCCACGTGTTGTGGACTTAAAAGTAAAATTGTGAACTGATGATGCAGAACCACTGGTAGCTAGGGATTGTGGGGCACTAAATTTACTTGTTTTCGTAGATTTTTGTCCAAGCAATTACGTTATAAAGAACAGAATAATAGTGTTGCCACATTCATGTAGTTATAGGCAAATGGTTGATTTGTCAAATATCAATTATGGATTGTTTCATTATAAATACTGGAATGCTCATACTGGATGGTTGTACAATAAGCAAAATTTGCCTTAGGGCCTGTTTATATGGAAGCTGGGCTGGCCCGCTTAGCAAGACAGCCCGGTAAGCACTAAGCAGGATGAATTTCTCTCGTGTTTATATGAGAAAATTTCATCCCGCTTGCCGGGACAATTTTGTTACATTGTATTGTTTTGACAGTTGTTAAAAATAGCTTGCGGCAGTATCTTTGAACTTTCATCCCGGCAACCAGCCTAGCAGGGGTGGAAAAAGTATCGGACCACGGGACCATTGGTCCCAGAAAATTTTTTAAGCTCCCAGCTAGTGGTCCCAGAAAATTTTTTAAGCTCCCAGAAAATATTTCCCCAAGAAAGAAAACAATTGTCATAATTTTATAGATAATAGGAGAAATTCAGAGGAAAACCATGACCTCAGAAATGCAATTATAAGTGCATCCATTTTAATAGTGCAATTGCGTATAAATGTATTAGCCTATAGACTGTATGGAATGATATGGAATGATGTAACAAATGTTGTTAGGCAAATGCATTTTTAGCCAATCTGGGATACCTGATTTTCAAAACTTTCTGGGGGAGCATGGATCCCCCTACTAGTGGCCTCTTTTGGCATCTGTATTTACCTTAGGATCAGACCCTTAATGCATGTTATCTATAAACTAGTTTTATGCTATTTTTTAAGATTCTCAGTGGACTGAAATATTGCATGACATCCAATTGTAAAATATAGCATGACATCCAATATTTTCACAACTTGTTAGCATCACACAGTTACAGTATCGAGTGTCAATTTACTTGATTATTTGCAGAAAATTTTCAATGTTCTCTTGCGGTCCCAGAAAGTAAAATATTTTTTTCCACCCCTGCAGCCTAGCCTGCTTGTGAGTGTTTATATGGAGAAATTTCCATCCCGGTAAGCGAGATCTCGCCTCTTTCAAGCGAGTCCATATAAACGCACACTAATTTTTACTATAAAAATAACTACACAGCGAGATCTCGCTTACCGGGCTGTCTCCCTTAGCGGGCCAGCCCGGCTTCCATATAAACAGGCCCTTAGTATAAATTTAGTAAGCCAGTATCTAGGCTGGCTTGCATTACATATAAAACATCCCCTATAATCCTACAATAGTTGGAAAAAATTAAGAAGTAAAACAAATCTAGAATGAAATATATTTCCCTTCAATATATGCAATTTGTAGTTAGTTGTATATATAGGCACAAAAATGGCTGAAATAGTTTAAAATTCAATACAATGTCATTGTGTTGACATGAAAATATTCTGTTTTTGTAGCCATAGGTGTTAATTTAAACCATGAGATGCTCAATCGTATGAACTATGAATGCAGATTTGCAGTGGTGTAGTGGCATAGATTTGTCAACCTCGTACCCAGGGTTTTATCTCCGCTCACCTCCCGCTGCGAAAAAACCCTGGTCCAGGCTGGTCACGTGCTTCCCAAAATATGAGAAGTGACAATTACTTTACTTGAGGGAAGGGTGGTTTAGGTTGAAATTGTAATCCCGCAAGGAAATAGTGCAGATGTATTGTATTTAATCGTGTTAGGTCTTAAACAATAATCGAAACCAGGTGCAATAGTTCATAAAAAAGCCAACGATACAGTTTTGGGATAGTGGTTACCCTGTTATGGCCAAAAATACGCCAACGAAAGTATACGGAGCGCATAATTTGGAAAGCAGCAGTTGTTGTCGGCTGTGTATAAAATCAGTCGGTGATCCCGCACATCGATATAAACTATTTAACAAAACTAACAGCGAGATCCTTGCCATCGCTGAGCATATTTATGGCCATCCACTTCCAAAAGAAGCAGGACTGCCGCAACTTATTTGCAGGCCATGTGAAAGACGCCTTCGTAGTTTCAGCGCGTTTAAGAATACAATTGTTCAAACGCAATCAACTTTGACCAAGTTCAAACGGTGTAACAAAGATTCGCCTGGCGTGTCACGCGTATCGAAAAGTTTAAAATCGGCACAAGAACCTCCGCAAAAACAATCCCAAAGAGCAAGACAACGTCTCTGTTTTATGCAATCTTCGCATGGGAAAGAGGTAAGTTTTATTGCATTCACGTAACAAACACAAAAATGCCAGTCGACATATACAAACAATGCGAAATGTACATATTGTTCTTTTTAATTGTTGCAATTTATTTTAAGTTTATTATAACGTATTTATTATAATGCAGATACGGTTACTTTATTCGTTTTAGTATATTATAAACATACAGTGTGTATAAAAAAAGTCATAAGCCATTGAAATTTAAATCAAGCATAAACGCCGTATTCTATTGAAATTCATCTGACAAGCTATACAGTATAATTATCGTTAATTTGAATTTGACTAATTTGAAAGAATGTATTTTTTTTATATACACACTGTATAGCAATGTACATTTTGATTTTTTGTTCAAAATTCTGTGCATATTTGTATCGAGAATCAGTTTCTAAATTGTTTTTGATATATTTTATGTGCCATGAATAAAGGATATGACATACCAGAATATAATTTACAATCTCTATAAAGTTTAATACGGTTGTAAACAAATGTAATTTATTAAATTGTCTGATTTTGCCAAAATATTCGTTCTTTCAGAATGCAAGTGAGTCACAAAGTACGGGTAGGACATTAATCACGTCTCCAGCTGACAATTGCCAGGTTCGTATGTGTATTAATTAAATACTAAATTGTCAATTTAGTTTTACTTTTAGGATTTTTATTTCAGTCTGACAGTACAACCAACGTGCATTACAAACTTACACAAAAAATCATTCACTTCTATTTTCATTAGGAAACTGTCAATGTGTCAAACGTGGAAACGGAACGTCAAATCCAAATGGGAAATTTGCTTTCACTGATTGAAAAAGAATTGTTGGACGTCGCGAGAAGGGAAAATAAATCAGTCCTAAGAGAGAAAGATTACCCTGCTTTGAGTTCGCTTAATTTTCATGACATTGTAGAAGAGATGAAAAATCGTTGTCCAACTGTGTTTCAGATCTTATCCAACATGGTTCAATACCATATTAACAGAGAGAAGAATATTGTCTCTCTGGGGCTTATATATGCAGTTATTATGTTCCGCAGATGTCACGAGTTGAGTCGTGTACAGAGAGTTAACACCGTACTTCTAACAGTAAAGTACTATGGCATTGTAAAGTACTTGGCAAGTAAAATACTATGGCATTGGACAGAGTATTTATAGTAAACTACTAAAGTAGGGCATGCGAGGGTTGACAGCATGCATGGGCAGATAGTCTGATTAACCCATTGAGTGGCAACCCTCTCCCCTTGATGAGTAAAATTGTCTGGTGTTAGACAAAGTAAAATACTAAAGTAGGGCATGTGAGGGTGCATTGCCACTTAAAGGGTTAATGCCTAAATTGGCTAGAATTATATTTACTACAATATTTACTCTGTTTAGTACCAAACTACCAAAGACATTATCTGCCTAATATCAGATGAACAAAGAAAGACAAATTCTAAACTACAGTATGCATTCATAGGTTTTGCCAGACTATCTGCCCATTTCTACAGTATCATTACAGTAAGTTAGTCAAATAGAGTTAGCATGCATATTCTACTTTGGAATATCTGAAAAAATACTGGATATTCAGGATAACAATTTGACATGACAAAAACATATTTTTAATGTTATAATGACCATTGGTGTTCAGATATGGGCGAAGTCTGTATTGTGGAAACATGGCTAGTGCTACAGTTATATATTGTTCATATCAATGGCCCAAAATGCTAGTATGTGACCACAGTAGAACCAATTTCCAGTTTTATTCCCATTTAGCAGACAGGTGGAAAATATGCATTGTTATTGATAAGGATTTGAGTTTAGTTGGTAAGATGCCTATTAATGTTTTGTATAGACCACACAATGGGTCATTCTAGAAAAGATTCACACTCCCACCAAGGAGGAAATTTCTCCTGTCCAGAGGGAGAGGGGGGGGGGGGGAATTGTTTCTGATAATAGTAAGTGTATTAGGACATCTAAAAGGGATAGAGATATGGGGCCTGAGGTACAGTATGGATGTTTTCTGGAATGACCTAATAAATAGGGCACAATTAAATTTATTATTTTTCATCTGGTAAAGAAATGGTTTGTTTGCTTACTTTGATAGACAGTAGCATCCTAGTAATTGTTCCTTTGATTGTTTTGCTAGACGTGACTTCTAATTATACGGTGCATTTGTTATGTTGTACATTCTGAACATTTACACTGCATTTTACAATAACTACAACAAACATGAGGGTTGTCTTTCATGACATCATGAACGTCAAGACAGCCCAACAAAAACATCCTAAGGCAGCTGTCCTCAAGTTTGCAGTATTCACGAATACTGTCACTAATTCCAGGCCGGCTCATTGCAATATCACGCTTGTTGTAGTATAAGACAGCTGTTGATTGTTTCCTATCACGACCTGCTCGCCCGGTCTCCTGAAAATATTCTCTAATTGTATGTGGTGGCCCAACATGAATAACATGTCTTATACATGGTATATCAATGCCCATTCCCAATGCAACAGTTGCAAATACAACTCTCAATTTTGACAATGGTGAAGAGAGTTCAGTGAGAATCTGATTCTTCATAGCATTTGTCTGGGGTGAATGAAATTGGGCAAACAGCCTGTTTTCGGGTATTGCTTCAGCATCAAGAGGATAGTACTGTTCCTTGCCCAAATGTTTAGCAAGATACTTGAAGGCATAGCCACACCATTTTAGTGGCAGGTACAAAATGGTCAAAGGGTAATCCAATTTCTTTTTAAGTAAAACAGTTGCAATGTTGTGTAGAAGTTCCTGAAAAAATTCAAGGTCATTGCCCTTTCTGATGATCTTTTCATAAAATATATTTGGCCTGTCAGGATTAGCTGTGATTTCCACTGGCTTTTTCAAATTTAAAGATTCCTTAATTAATATAACATCTGCCTTGCTTGCTGTAGCAGTGAGGGCAACAACAGGAACGGTAGGGAACGTAGCACACAACATTGCCAAATTTGAATAATCTTTCCTGAAGTCAAGTCCCCTGCAAAACAATATTAAAGACAAATAATTAATATTTTTACAAGTTGACGTCAATGCGTTATTAAAAATTTTGTATAATTTCTATAAAACATTTTTACTATACATTTACTAACTTACCATTCTAAAATACAGTGAGCTTCATCTACAATAATCGATTGAACGGATTCCTGATAAGGCTTGCTCTGTAATAATTCCATTCCTTCCTTACAAGACAGGAATGCCTCGGGATGCATGTAAATAATGTCGTACTTTGCATCTTTGAGCAGCGAATTGGCGCCTGTAAAATCCAAACGCAAATCGTCGGTTTCTTTCCCTTTTTTAACATTCAACACACCTGCCTTTATATTTCCTTGGTAGCTTCTTTTAATTTGATTCTCGATGAGAGCATTTAGCGGCGATATTACAATAACGACTGGATGGTATATTGACGCACTCGTCAGACGTTCGTCTCCACCATTGAACTTGTCGTAAAAAAGCGAGGGCAGAAGATGAAAAATCAGTGACTTTCCGTAACCCGTAGGTAACACAGCTACAACGTCTCTACCAAAATATATTGCTTCCAAACACTTCACTTGCTTAGGTTTCAAAATAATATTACAATAATTGCTATTTACTATTGCAAAGTGAAGACTGCTATAGAACATTGCCAATACGATAATGCCAAAGTAATTACATTTTGACGCACGGACCCCCCCCCCCCAAGGGACATAGCAAATTAAAGTGTCACGTGACCAGCCTGGACCAGGGTTTTTTCGCAGCGGGAGGTGAGCGGAGATAAAACCCTGGGTACGAGGTTGTAGACTTGTATGTCTCTATGAGTCTATGTAAGATATATTGAGCATTAATTGCATGGTTTAAATTAACACCTATGGCTACAAAAACAGTTGGTAGAATATTTTCATGTCAACACAATGACATTTTATTGAATTTTAAACTATTTCAGCCATTTTTGTGCCTATATATACAACTATAACTACAAATTGCATATATTGAAGGGAAATTTACTTCTTAATTTTTTCCAACTATAGTAGGATTATTATAGGGGATGTTTATATGTAATGCAAGCCAGCCTAGATACTGGCTTACTTTACTAAGGCAAATTTTGCTTATTGTACAACCATCCAGTATGAGCATTCCAGTGTTTATAATGAAACAATCCATAATAGTAAATTTAGTGCGCCACAATCCCTAGCAGTATTCCTAGCAGTATTCCTAGCAATATCCCTATCCCAGTGGTTCTGCATCATCAGTTCACAATTTTATTTTAAGTCCACAACAGGTGGGTTTCACTTAAAATTATCCCTTTCAAAAGCATTGTAATACTTTATGAAATACAAAATTTCTATATTTATTTTATGTGGCCTAAATAACAACGCTGTTTCCAAGCAGCATATCTGTTTAGTGTCAAGATTTTGTGTGTTATAAATATTACATGTAAATCGACTATGAAATATTCTAGCAGTATTAAGAATATAAACTATATTTTTATCAACATACCATGCGAGGTGAACAAAATCCGCATTAAAATCACTTCAAATATTGTACAACTGAACAAGTCACACGACAAGAGATACAATATTATTTGCTTGATTGTATTTAAAAATAAATAATCCATATTTTCACGACATTTTAGAGAAATACCAGAATTAGTGCAGAAAATTTCCAATTCGTTATATTATAAATTCGTCCGTTTGTATATATTATTTAATTACTATTTTCCATATTTCACGCTGACAATACGTCAGACTCCGTGTTTTCCATATTTTTCTCTGACGTCAGACTCCGTGTTTTCCATATTTTATGTGGACTCCGTGTTTTCCATAACCAGAATTAGTGCAGAAAATTTCCAATTCGTTATATTATAAATTCGTCCGTTTGTATATATTATTTAATTACTATTTTCCATATTTCACGCTGACAATACGTCAAGACTCCGTGTTTTCCATATTTTTCTCTGACGTCAGACTCCGTGTTTTCCATATGACTCCGTGTTTTCCATATTTTATGACTCCGTGTTTTCCATATGACTCCGTGTTTTCCATATTTTTCTCTGACGTCAGACTCCGTGTTTTCCATATGACTCCGTGTTTTCCATATTTTTATGACGTCAGACTCCGTGTTTTCCATATGACTCCGACTCCGACTCCGGGACTCCGACTCCGGGGTTCCGACTCCGGAACTCCGACTCCGTGTTACCTCTTGAATTTGACTATAGGAATACGTACAGTATAATTATTGCTGTTACTTTATCTTATAATACAACTACAGTAATAAACCCTAAAATCGTCATATTGATTATTAACTGTGGTGTATTGTTTATTAGATGTCCACAATTAAATTTTGACTTCATCAGATGTCTTTTCCACCACTGGAGACAATATTATATCTGGAATATCCTCTTCTGTATTTTAGGATGAAATTTCTTCAGACATTTCATTTTTAACGTCCAAATCTTTGATCTTGGAAGGTGGTTGAATTGGTATATCTCGCAGATCTCCTGTTGTTTCTCGGAATGTGCTGTTGTGTCGATATTCTTCAGTCTTCGGTTGTTCATCGGTTACACTGTGTGATTCAGCGTTTGAATTTTTCGTTGGAACCTAAGATATGATGAACCAGTTTAAAAATATATAGTTGTCTATTCTCGAGGTTACTACACATTATTTTGCTTGTTCACCTTCACCGCCTTTTTAATGAATACGCTTTTCATCGTCTGCATCGCCGGCGAGAGCCGACTCAGCCGTGTACTTGGCATTCGAAGTGTCCCGAACTCTGGAAGGCATGCCTTTGACCTTATTTAGGTCACACCGATTGCATATAGTGTATTAATGAATTATGTAAAATATATCGCCTTTATTGCGATCAAGTTTTTCCCTTACGAATTTATAAGGATACCTGCGATAGACACCTTAATTAAAGAGAGGTACATTGGTTATCGTACATTGGTTACCGGCTCAGCCGTGTACTTGGCATTCGAAGTGTCCCGAACTCTGGAAGGCATGCCTTTGACCTTATTTAGGTCACACCGATTGCATATAGTGTATTAATGAATTATGTAAAATATATCGCCTTTATTGCGATCAAGTTTTTCCCTTACGAATTTATAAGGATACCTGCGATAGACACCTTAATTAAAGAGAGGTACATTGGTTATCGTACATTGGTTACCGGCTCAGCCGTGTACTTGGCATTCGAAGTGTCCCGAACTCTGGAAGGCATGCCTTTGACCTTATTTAGGTCACACCGATTGCATATAGTGTATTAATGAATTATGTAAAATATATCGCCTTTATTGCGATCAAGTTTTTCCCTTACGAATTTATAAGGATACCTGCGATAGACACCTTAATTAAAGAGAGGTACATTGGTTATCGTACATTGGTTACCGGCTCAGCCGTGTACTTGGCATTCGAAGTGTCCCGAACTCTGGAAGGCATGCCTTTGACCTTATTTAGGTCACACCGATTGCATATAGTGTATTAATGAATTATGTAAAATATATCGCCTTTATTGCGATCAAGTTTTTCCCTTACGAATTTATAAGGATACCTGCGATAGACACCTTAATTAAAGAGAGGTACATTGGTTATCGTACATTGGTTACCGGCTCAGCCGTGTACTTGGCATTCGAAGTGTCCCGAACTCTGGAAGGCATGCCTTTGACCTTATTTAGGTCACACCGATTGCATATAGTGTATTAATGAATTATGTAAAATATATCGCCTTTATTGCGATCAAGTTTTTCCCTTACGAATTTATAAGGATACCTGCGATAGACACCTTAATTAAAGAGAGGTACATTGGTTATCTTACATTGGTTACCGGCTCAGCCGTGTACTTGGCATTCGAAGTGTCCCGAACTCTGGAAGGCATGCCTTTGACCTTATTTAGGTCACACCGATTGCATATAGTGTATTAATGAATCGGTGAGATCTTTTGACGGTTATATATGTTGTTATGTAGAATAACCTACCTTTACTGTATTGCTGGATGACATTTCGGCGGTGACAAAATCGTTGTAAACTGCGATGTCGGAGGGTTCTCCTGGAACATTTTTAGGCAGGGCCGTAGCGAAGGGGGGTATTGGGGGGGGGGTGGTTAACCCCCAACTTTTTTAGAATTAACATATTCGGAAATCAGGTTGGTCATTCGGAAAATTACGGCAGTAATAGTATAACAAAATTTTTGTTGTTTATAATAAACAGAGAGAATATTATAAAATTGTATTGTCACTATCATAAACTGATTTACAAAATCACGGCATTTACATGGATAACATTTAACAAATCGTAGATCGGTAAATGTTTTTCGGTTTATTACTTCCCAGGGCCGTAGCAACGGGGGGGGGAGGGGGAGGGTGCAGCCCTCAATATATCTTTAAAATACTGACAATTGATTAATTTTAAGCGGCTACATTACCCATGATAAACCGCAAAGAATCATATTACCCATATACGCCTTCGCCCATTTAGTTCTTCTAAATTGTTCGCCCATTTAGTTCTTCTAAATTGTAAGCAAATTAATTGTAAATTTCTACGTGCTAAAACTCTGTTTTCTGACCAACAGAATTCTGTCAAAACTTCCCCCAAAGTCCACGAAATGGCATTTCAGAGACTCTAAATTTAAAAATTTCCTCGGGCCTTCGGTCCTCGCCACCCCCTTATCAAAAAGATCTTCCTACAGAACTGCATGCTTCTGTAATATGTCTGTGCGAAAAATATGAGTATTTTTGTTTGTAAATTGTGTTTTAATTTTCCGGATAGCAAACACCTTCGTGGCTTCGTATGCCATGAAATATTCGGAAATTTCTTTCGTCATTCGGAAATTTTTGGCCTACACCCCCCCCCCCCAACTATGCATGCTTAGCTACGGCCCTGTTTTTAGGTATAGATGATGGGAAGTGTTCAGAAAGATTGGACATCGGAATATAGTTACCCTGCATTTCTTCACCATAACTGGTAGATTTTGTCGGCTGATTCTCAACTATTTTCTCTTCGAAAAAATTGACCTTGTTTATAATTTCTGGTGCAATTGGCGTGGATGGACGGCTATATTGATTATTCCACTTTTCTCCATTGCTTGATATCACCAGACCAGCTCCCAGAGTTTCATTTTGAGACAGCAATTTCCGGAATATTTTGAGATGAAACAGCCTCAGATGGTTTGAATTCATTATCTCCATTCGCTTCTATTTTTTCAGTTGCTAACTGGATTACTGTTGTTTGGTCTTTAACGATTGCATCGCTTTCACCAATGACGGTGTCTGTCAGTTGACTCTGGTTTTGGATTTGGGGTATTTTCATCTTGGACACTGAAAATTGTTGAGATGCTGGTCCTGGTCCAGATAAACTTGAACTTTGAACTATGTGCGGTATAGAATATAGTTGGGTGTCATAACGCGTTTGAAATGCCGAATTATATTCTGAATGGAGCAGTTCAGAATTTGGGAGCTGTTGGGGTGCACGTTGCAACCCAGGTTTCTCACCTGACGCATATAATGGATGTATCACTCCTCCGGGTCTCATATATTCATAATTAGTAAATACCGGCGCGTTCAGGCCCATATGCCTGTATCCACTGGACATAGACTGATGGATATCTGGCTGAAAGCCATAATTCTGGTATTCATATGATTCCTGGGCGTTCTGCATTGATGGCGGTTGCTGGAAACGATTTTCTGCAAGAGATTGCCTTACATATGGCGAGGATTGTAATGACGTCATGTTTTTAGGTGGTGGTGGATGGAAAGTATGGCGAACTTCTGTCGACATACAATTTTTCAGGATGTCTCATGCAAATGCAGATGATAGTTGATTGAAATTTGGTGCAATTGTTTTGTGGTTAGGTCGTTGATTAAAACTTTGTCTCTGTTGCAAGCCAGGATTTTCTATCGAGTGGTGATCCTGAGAGTAATATAAACACTTTTGTTGGGCTGCGCTGTAGCGAACCACTGGTTGTTGCCATAAGGTGTCTGTGTTTGGAAAATTAAATAAGAATGGTTTGTTGTCACGGAATTTGATGATAAATTCAATCTTTGAAAGACTCAAAACATGCTGCAAAGATTCGGGGTAGATGGGGAGCATATACTATATTTTAATGTTTTGGTTTGTTAGCTCATCCTTGAAGGCCTACCTAGTTTCGATTATCTGCTTCTAAATGATTATCAGTTTTGTCCGAAAATATTTTTGTCTGAAACAAATGGAGGCTGAAGCATTACAATTTGTTAAGAATTAGCCTTGTTATTATCTTATTGAGTTAAAATGGTTAATTTGTTGCTTCATGCATAGCAGTAATATTTGCATTTAAAACCAAATGATCCTTAAATGTGATATACTTAAAAATTACGGGAACCACTGAGTATTTTAATAAAATATAAAACAACGGTAACTCCGAAAATAAACATTTTAATATTCTAGCATTCGACTAAGATTCAGTCACCATCAGGAATGATGCTAGGTTACATTACATTACATTACATCGATTCTTTTGATGCCTTAGTTCCGTGATTAAGTTCAGTTTTAAGGCGACTAATGGCAAGTGCTTCCTTAATTTAAATAGCAATAAGGACCAGTGATCAGATCTGTCTATAATCATAGAGTTAGCAAATATAAATTCTGAAAGTATACAAGTTAGAGTTGGGTTAGGTTCTTCGTCTGGATACAGTTCTAAAATGGATTTGATATGTTGAAAGTGTTCGCATGATGTGATGTGGTTAAAGACTTTGTTGAGACTGAGTGTTCTGTGATTCTGGTGTAGAAGCAGCGATCTGTTTTACCGATGTATCTACTTTAACATCCAGGACAGGTGAATTCGTACACTATACAGAGCTTTGGTATTTAGCCGGTGTTTTATCTTTGTTTGGGAGGAACGAGTTGCTGTTAGTAGTTTTCCAATTAATGATGAAATGGCACAGTTTCAATTTTTGTAGTGGGGTTATTCTATGTATAAATGAGCGGGTTAATCGGGTACCATATTTGCCAAGATAGGGTAAAGGTAGCCAGATTTTAGGGACAGGGTTAGTTAGATCAGTAGCAGGGTTATCTTGATGTATAACGTTAATGTTAGATATTGTAGATGGTTTGAATTGATCAATTAGTTTTATAATGATGACAATTTTCGAGGAAATACATGTATATATATATATATATATATATATATATATATATATATATATATATATATATATATTATTTATTATATATATTATATATCTTTCGAAAAACGTCGAGCCCGCTGCTCAACAGGATTGAAAAATGTTTTGCTGGCCACGTTGTTCACACTTGTCAACAATATTGAACAATATTGTTGAGCCTGAATCGGGTGTAACAGCATTGTTCAATATTGTTGACAGCTATCAACAATGTGGGCAGCAAAATATTGTTCAATCCTGTTTTCATCAGTATTGCATCAACCTGTGCGTTTTTACGCGTGTAGCAGTAAGTGAGATGGGCCTTAATTGATTGCAAGTTTTTAGCGGAGATTCCTTTGGCATGCAGTGGTAATACATTTGCTTTTTTCCAGGTGTTTGGAACTATGCCTGTCATTAAGGAGCGATTAAATATTGTTGTAATAACCGGTGCTAGATCTAACGAGTAGTTCTTCCAGAACCAGTAAGATAGGTCATCATGGTCAGCGGCAGTTCTTTGCTGTTTCTGTAAGAACTGTTCACCATATTAATGGACATGGTTGGGATTTTAGTGCCTTCGGTGGGAGATAGGGATAAAACCTCTCCCCAGCATTCGAAAATCACAAAAAATTATAAAGTAGTCCCTGTTCCCAAGAAAGGTGATGTTCACGAGGTCATGCACTATATATCGACCGATTTCCCTGCTGTCACACAGAATTTTAAGCTCATTGATTGTAACATAATTGTCATGATGAAGACTCGAAGTACCGAATCGAAAGCTTAATAAAAGTTATCAATCCGGAGAAGTTTCACAAATTCACAAATTATAATATGCCTGGATTACAAATCTTTAAATATGGTCATCCACCGCATATGAGCTATTCTGCAATCTGATTATTTGAGCTACTCGCCGTATCATATACGTCGTTTTTATTATATTTAGTGAAAAACAAGATGGCGGCATTAAAACTACAAGAGTTTTGCGAACGGGACCAATCTTTTGCGATTTTCGAATGCTGGGGGAGAGGTTTTATCCCTATCTCCC